GAGCGAGGGGAAACATTTTTTTCTCGTACTTTGCGTCTTGAATAATAAATGCCCAGATATCCAATCTTGGCCGCTTGACGTCCGTCGATATTTCGCAAAGTCACGTCAGTCAGTTGAGTTTTCGTTATCGCACGTAAAAGCCGTTATTACCCGTGTCCATTGCGTAGGAACCCACACGCCGTGTGTGTAATACTTTTCTACGAGCTCGCGTCGGCGTCGACGGCGGCGGCGGCGGCGGCGGCGGCGGCGGCGGCCTTCGCAGTGACTTTAGCATACAAATCAGAGGCTGCGGTATGACATCGGTCGGGACATCCCTCGGCATACCTTCGTACCTGTTAATATCTCGTTCTATTCCACTCTACGCAATCGTTCCACGCAAATGTCAGTGGACGCGAACGGTTCCACGCCTGACGCGGGAGCCCGAGCAAGATGCAAGGAGAAGCCATAGATCTCAAAAAGGATCGTTTCTGTCGTATAATGGGACACGGTCATTAAAACCGGCTGCACCGGCGACTTTTCAAGGAGATATTTCGGAGATATTCCGATCGTAAGCGGGAGCGTTAAAATTATATTATGCCAATTTTGGACACGCTAGCGCGTCACGCTAGTGCTCGCCCGTGACCGGACGGATGCACAAAAACGTTAGCATAAACGTGTCTTTTTTATTGGTTTCGCGACGGCGCGTGTGATACGCGCGTTACGTGTTTAATATTAAAATTAGCACTTTTACATCGTCTGGGTCAAAAATATCGACGCCAAAATTATCCCGGGGACCGGTGTGAACCTGCCCGACCTCTCCAAGAATTTTATCATAAATAATGCCGAGAGATAGGGCATTCTTCTTCTTATGTGAATTGTAAATCGCACGCGCGCGCGGGCGTCTTTCACAATGGCCCGTCTCGACGAGAGAGCGTGACGTGTCTCGATATGGTCGAAAGTTTATATTAAAATCAGAGCTATGTTAAAATTTCTCGAAAAACTTGATATTTCCCTGCTCATTAATTTGAGAGGAAAAGGAAAAAGTGATCGGCCATTGTTAACTGCCGCTTATACCGTGGAAAAGTTCGCTCGCGCAAAAAACTCGCAAAAAAGCCGTTCCTATTCTTGCGAAGAAAATATAGGATTACACTTCATTATCTTGCTAAAGTGTAAAATGTACCGTCGGCCGTGTGCCGCCGTCGTAAGCCGATCGTTATACTTCAAGAGTATACGTAAATATATTCCCGTAAATATATCCTTGTCAATAGCCACGTCCGCCATCGTGCGGGACTATAAAATTCTTTATGTTCAAGCAAATCGTTAAAATTTTTAAAAGATCACAGAGAAAACTATATAATAGCGTAGTTTAGAAGAATCTGTAAGAGATCAGCGAATAAAAATTCTTTGTAATAAAAGCTCGGCTACTTGGCAGCGGAGCTGTTTTTTCGGTGTGCGAAGCCGAAGCGCTCGAGTTACGAGAGAGCGCGCGGTCGATCTTACGTAAACCCACCTCTCCACCTCTCGCCATCTGACATTGTAATGTTGATAATGGTGATTTCGGCACTTACAGCGGCGGTATGTATAACAGGTAAACGTCGGCTAAAGGTGAACGGCACCTTAGACCTCGCATACCTCACGCGTCGTGTGTTTTCTTCTATGCACATTCGCGCACAAAGTTGCATCAGACTCCCACGTCGGGATTGAACGCCTAAATTTAAAGGCGATGTAACGAACCTGTTTTAGGACTGAAAGCAAAATAACAAGGAGAAATAAATGTGCACCGTCGTTGCAGGTTTGGTCGCCGTACGTAAAAATTTAAGCCTACGCGCGTGCTCGGGTTCAACTCTAGACGTACATATATATATATATATATCCATTTGTCTTTCTCGGGCACCAGTGCTACATTTCGCCTCTCTTTACGATTTTGTTTGTTTTTTTTTCTCTTCTTTCTTTATCACCGCCATCGTCGTCCTTGTCCTCGACCTCGTCCTCATCGCCTGTCGTCGTCGTCGCGCGATGCCTTCTCGCGAATGTCAGCCGACCGAGCAGAGGAGAGAGAGAGAGAGAGAGAGAGACGCGGGAAGAGATAC